CTCTGTAAATCTTCACCCAAATCACAATAAATAAAATAAAATTTTCAAAAAAGAAAATTGCCTTCACTCTTTGAAGTGAAACTTGTCTTCTCAGAGTGAAATTAAACAAAAGACTTTAAATTTTATTCTAAAACGATATTTTGTACTGAGTCAGAATTTTTACTTCTGTAAGATATCCTTGTCTAAAAACTGCCAATATTGGTCTAAAAATAGTCAAGTTGCAGTTTAATCCTTTCAAAAATTGGTAATATCCAAGTTCACTACTTCCACATTACATGTTTTGGAAGAATCTTTTATCTAGATAAATCCTACTCTTTTGCTTTTTGAGAACATAGAGAGGCAAGACCTGTTGGATCCTTGATTTTGGAAAGCTCTTAACAATTTGCTTCCTTTTTCTTTTATTTTAGGTCTAAACCTTTCTAACTTTTCTTTCATTAATAACCTGTGATATGCATATGACACAGCCTTGCTTGCTGCAAGTGAAGATGGCTTGAAGCACTTACTGATGAAGATTAAAGAGTACATTCTGCAGTATGGATTACACCTCAACATAGAGAAAACAAAAATCCCCACAGCTGGACCAGTAAGCATCATCATGATAAATGGGGAAAAGATTGATGTTGTCCAAGATTTCATTTTACTCAGATCCACAATCAACACCCTTAGAAATAGCAGTCAGGATATCAAATGTCATACTGCGCTGGGTAAAACTGCTGCACAAGACCTCTTTAAAGTGTTAAGAAGCAAAGATGTCACTTTGAAGACTAAGGTGTGCGTAACCCAAATCATGGTATTTCAGTCACCTCATGTGCATGTGAAAGTTTGGCAATGAGAAAGAAAGACCAAAGAAGAATTGATGCCTTTGAATTGTGGTTATTGCAAAGAATACTGAATATGGACTGCTAGAAGAATGAACAATTTTGTCTGGAAGAAGTGTAGTCAGAATGCTCCGTAGAAGTGAGAAGGCCACACTTTGTCTCAAGTACTTTGGTCATGTTGTCGGAAAGAACTAGTCCCAACATCAAGCTCTATTGGCTTGATGTTGTAACATACCACACAAAAACATTGTTCTACCTCCTACTTTGGTGGGTAGCGACTGGGATCTTAAAAGCTTGCAGGTGACCATCTAAATGCAGAGATGGGTCTCTCCTCTACCAGAGCAAAGAAAAATGAAGAAAACAGAAGACACATGGAAACAATTAGTCCAAGCGACTGGTACACTGTGTGATCCTCAGCCTATATGACTGACTATGAGACCAGAAGAACTAGATGGTATCCAGCTACCACTGTCAACCACTCAGAGTGGGATCTATAGGAGATCCTGGATATAGAGTAGGAGAACAATGTGGAACAAACCTCAAAATCATTAAAAAAAAAAAAAGACCAGGTTTGCTGGTCTGATAGAGCCTGGTAAGACCTCTGAGACTATGGCCCCTAACTCTTCAGATCTGGAATTGAACTCGCTTCTGTGACTTCCAGTCAAACAGTAGATGTGCATGTGGGGTGAACATTTACATCAGGTAGATACACTCTTTGGAGTGATAAATTATGGGAGAATAGAAAGGCAGTGTTTGCATAGGGAGACAGCTCATGGGGCAAGAGTGCATGGTAAGGAAGGACACAGGAAAGAGGAGGTAACTACGGGGAGGAAGTGGGAAGAGAGTTGTTACATTGTGGGAAATTGCAATGTCATGAGACAAAATGTGTATGAACTGCTGTGTGGAAAATGAATTTCCTCTGTAAACTTTCACCCAAATCAAAATAAACATTTTAAAAAAAGAAGAAGGCACCAGTCCCTAGAAAATTATATCATGCTTGGTAGAGGATCAGTGTAAAAGGGGATAGACCCTCAATGAGATGGATTGGCCTAGTGGGTGCAATGATGAGTTCAACCAGAGTAGGGATTGTGAGGATGGTGCAGGACTGGGCAGTGTTTTGTTCTGTTGTACTTAGGGTCACTAGGAGTTGAACCAACTCAATGGCACCTACCAACAACAACAACCAAAACAAGAGACCTTTGTCTGTCTTTTTCTGCCCTCTCCCCACACTCTTCCTTCTATTCCTTCCTTCTTTCTATCTGATCTATGATATCCTATTTTGATCTATGATTGCACTTTAACTTTTTTTTCATTGTGATTTGGGTGAAAGTTTACAGAGCAAATTCACTTTCCATATAGCAGCTCATACACACCTTGTCTCATGATATTGACTACAATTTACCCCAATGCAATGGCTCTCCTCCCACTTCCTCCTGGTAGTTATCTCTTCCGTGTGTCCATCCTTCCATGCACTCTTGCCCCTGGGCTGTCTCCCTGTGCGTAAACAGTCCTTCTTTTTCCCATGATTGTTCTCTCCAAGGAGTGTATCTACCTGAAGTAAATGTTCAACTCATATGCCTATCTTTTGTTTGGCTGGAAGCCACAGGTATGGGTTCAATTCCATACCTAAAGGGCAGCCAGGGTCCATAGTCTCAGGGGTTCCACTAGGCTCTATCACACCAGCAAACCTAGTCCCCCCCACCCCACAAATGATTTTGAGTTTTGTTCTACATTGTTCTCCCTCTCTATCCAGGATCTCCTA